ATTTATTCAAATTGACTTTGTCCCTCTTGTAGTAGAGATCATACCACAAGCAAATTATAAATCATAACAGAAACAAAAAATGAATAATTTCAAAATTTCAAGTATTTCGAACTTTGTGATGAATGGCTGAAAAATTCATAGAAACTTTATTCCATTTCTGAATTTTTCAATTCAGTTTGTGAAGGATTGTGTGTATCACAAGTTGTACACTTACACATTACCACATGATGAAATCAAAACAATAATTCTGTTTATTAAATTAGAATAGCGCTATTGTGATACGAAGTCCACCTTGAAAAATTTAATGTATTTGAGAAAGACTTCGAACAATTTGTTAACACAACTGTGTGTCGTTTCATTTATATGAACATGGAGAAATATACTATCGAACAGACTAAGCGAAGCATTCATAAAATAAGGTGATAATACTGGTGAGTATAGAGCAGATGAAAACCAGCAGTAATCCTGGTATAATTCGCGAAGGTTTGACATAGTAGCTGACTATTTCACAGATTTTCTAAAGTGTCGAGGAAAACGTCAATGAGATTAGTATGTTAATTTCATATAGCACGAAACTGTTTGAGCTATATTTATGCAGAAGAGTTAGGAAATCGTGAAACTCTTTTACATCACCTTACGTATTCCAAAACGATAATTAACAAATACCGTTTGGAAACGATTACTGACAAATGACTGCTTGGAGGAAGAAATATTATTCGCATAAGGGAAAACATTAGGCACAAACATAGAGTTTTGAATATTAGGTTGAGCTGAACAAAGGAAATGAGTACAGATCATTCACAAACCTGCTATCCAGCAGGTCATGACAGTAAGCTGTACGCCATATTGCATGAATGAACATGAACAATTGTGCTTACGGATATAGAGTTTCGCGTTCTTCTCAATTGTCTATTGATGTGGAACTGTGAGAAACAAGAAAGTATCAATGAATACATATATCCCGTGTCGTATTAATAAAGACTATGAACCGAGCTTCACACGGGCATTTATGCTTTCCGTTTCCTAAGTCTTAATCAATAGTGCAGGTTTATTGAGAAATTACGAAATCAATACTCTTTCAGCAACCAATGAATGATGAACTGAACTGAACTCGCGTGTTCAGAAAAAGACTATTGAAATTCTTTCTGTATCATTTTGAATAAGTCAGTCGGTCTCACATTCGATATTTTAATCATGCTTCGTTTGATGGTGTTATTTCACACAATTCCTTGCTTCTCGCTACTTATACTCGATAGCTTACTGTCTGACTCCTACTCACGTTATTTAAATCGCTTATCTCCATATAAACTACATAGACTCTTGTGATTGTTCACCTCCATTTTGTGCGCGATATCTATTGCTTACTGGAGGATATTTGAGAAGATAGTCTACAAAAACGAACAACCTTTATTTCTAGGTTGATAAGTTGAAGAATGTGAACTATTATCAAATAGATATAAAATTGTTCTGATACCATTGTAGTTAATAGAATTAAGTTTCAAGAATAGGAATTATTGATTAGTCATCTCAACCTTCCTAATCTCGATTTCTATTCCTCAGTAACTACATCTCATTGGATGACAGGGTCTGATGATGAGGATTTCAAGAATCGTCTGCATCTGTTTCTCACAAACTACCCTCATTATTTCAACTTCGAAAGTTTTTATGATAGCTTTCCTTGGTAATACGTGTTTCTTATCGTCCATATTTCATCAGTCACACTTTTCACTGCACAGACAAAGCCTCTTACGAAAACTGCTGTGCCAACCACTATCATATTACGTCGCATGTAACCATTGTTCATTTGCACATACGTGAAATCGAATATCACTTCAAAACTATACTTAATCACTTCATGATACAGTGATTTAAACGTGTAAGTCAACCAACATGTGACTTTATTTCACATCTGTATTTCCAGAAAGTCGAGCTTCATCATCGATGGACTAATGGAGTTCTAAATAATTGTTTTTAAAAGAATGATAATATGATTCTACAATGATTTGTCTATTGAATATATCACACGGTGAAACAGTATAATTTATCGATTTGAACTACACAACTTCGAATCTTGACTTCTGCAGTTCTTCTTCACTTCTCCTTTCTCCTCATATGTCGTAGGAACAGTAGAATTTTCCAGATATTTGGGACATGTGTTGAACCATTCCCACCTCACGTATTCTCAGATGCTTCGATAAATAAACCTGAAGCCTTCAATCTACACGTCCAACCTTTGACATTCGATTTTAGGTCAGCCGTCGAATCCCATCCTGTTTTGTGGCTGTGTAACTGCACATAGTGCTACAGCTGAGCTGTTAATTAGACTTATTATCTTATTAGGGTTAAGTGATCTACATTTGGCTAGGCCTGTGTGTCTCACAGATATAAATTAATCCATTCTATTACAACGTAAAGACTGAATAATGCTGAAGAAAGATGATTCAGTTATACCAAGATGCTGTAAATTATCGTATAATATATCTTTGATAAAGCTCAAAGCATTTAATTGCCAATTTCCAGTTCAAACGGTATCATTCACTGAGAAAAACAACAAGCTCTATAACAATCAATATCAGGCATCCATTGCCCAAATGTCTTTACGACTATTAAACATCAAATTGGTTCGGACGAAATTGACTACTCAAGTTATCGAAGATATAAAGAATGTCAGTCTGTTAGAGTTAGAAAGTGGTAGATGCCCTTCATATACAGTGAGACTGATCTGCTTAGAGTTTTTAGAAAAGGAACAAGTTAACATCCATAGTGGACTAGTAGTAACAAGAAAATCTAAAACGTTTTTCAAGAGACAAACATGTAACACGGTGAAATCTGTCGAAGTTGGAGACAAATGCTTCTTCATGAAGCTTCGAACTTTGGAAAAGAACCATCAGGGAATTAGAGGGATAACAGAGATAGCACCTAAGAAAGCTTTTAAATGAATTCTCTCTCATTGTCTGTACAGTTGCAACTTGCATACATTTTGTTCCACAAGCTAACGTGGTTAGCATTTTGTCTAACAGGACTTAGTGATAGATGTGAGACTGACAGCAGATTTTATTTTTTTTGAAATACAATATGAGGATTCACAGGTGTGCTGGAGGTGTAGAACAATCGCAAATGGCATAAAAACCAAAATCACACAGACCTCGATTTATGGTTGTGTGTCATGTCGACTAATTATTTCCGACAAACGGGTGTGTTCAAGAGATGCATAGAAAGAGAATCAAAATGTCATTTTGTGAATGAAGGTTGAAGAAAATGAGGCAACAGCTAAAAGGAAAGAAGTGAAAGAAATTCGATGATATATACGGAAGTTGGACAAGCCCCTCCTTAAGACATATCTCCCACGTTTCCATTCGATTAGCTAGGGACTTCATAGTGTCTAGAAGTTGGATTTATGGTACTCGCAATAGATCTATTGTTCATATACTTTTAACTCCAGATGATCTGTCAGCCGAGATATAGAGATAGATACTGACGTGGTGCCCGATTTTAACACTCACGACTAAACCAGCATCATCAACAAACAACCATGCTATGTAGCCTTCCAGAACCCGTTTTGAGAGGACACAGAACCACCTAGATACCTGGCTCAACAGTATCCAGTTTCAGTCCCATATTTCTCGCCATTGAACTAAGGAAACCTGATATCGTCTCAAATATAACTTGATATATTTTGACATGACCAACTTCAGTCCAACAGTTATTCATCAGTCTCTTCTGGTATGATGGATCATGCAGAAATATTTGTCTCAGCTGACACAACTCACTGGTAGCAGATATCGGTTTACTGAAGAAACGAAATCTGCACCTTTAGATATTGGACACAATATGTTGATGACAATGCAAGCATGTGCTATCGGACAACGTTATCCATTAGGCGTGCAGCTCAGCTAATATCTCTGGCTGAAATACGATATGATTCCATCTGCGCAGACTGTAGATGCAATTAATTGCCAGCGAACTCCAGAAACACTCACAACAGAACTATTAATACTATTATCACTATTATTGATCAGTTCTTGCGTTCTTTCTAGAATATTCGGTTTCAGTCGCGCATTCTCATTGCACTCAGTGCAGTTCATAGTGTTCTTAAGATTTTCTGAATACATGAATTACAGAGCAGCGTTAAATTTGTCCAAGTGTAAAGAACACAAAGATTAGTGAGGCTTATGAAATGTTCAGCACTAGGATATATATTGCAAATTGATTTGATGGGATCCTGCATTTCACTAAATAAACATCTTACTGAGTAACTATTATGTATTATGCTTGGTAATAGATTTTTGATGGTATGCAACTATAACCAATGAAAATCAACATGACAGTGGAGGATAGATTATTGGTGCATCATTATAGTACAGGTAATCCCAGTCAAGTGATGTGCTACCTCTACTAACTAGCGGCTACCGATTGGTCGTATCCTCAACAAACTATGATCCTCCTCTTTTATCCTCGAAACATGCATCTATTTAGAACACATGAGGAAGTGATGCCTTACAACATTCCTCGGACAACGAGATCATGACCGCCAATCAATTAATTACCTCTAAACCATGTATTATCTGAACTGACATGGCTGACTTACATGTACAACCTGAAGAGAAGCCATGTTAAGTTCACCACATCATCAACGGCGACCACACTAACCAATGCTGGTCCATCACGAACAAGTATGTGCGTAAGAGTGAATTTAACCAATTTTAGTGGATATCAATTTCGAGTACAGAAACAACTGATGCTGAAAATGCCAATCATTATGCACTGATTTGACACAAGCAAAACCACCAGTTATATTTTTCATCAGTCTCGATTAATTTTTGCTCAAATCAATAATGAAGATGCCTGACTTTTAATTGAGACTCATTTTCTCTTGGTTATTCCAAACCCATGTATGCTGCTCTAAACTCAGAACTGTGCTCACTACATTTGTCGAGTTTGTAGAACACCTAGAAAGAAAATCATTTGTTCAAATAAGAAGGTAGTAGATTACTTTGCAAAAATTTGTTTATTTTCAGTGATTCACGGGATCCAGTACAACGAGGTTTAGTCATCGTCAACATCAGCTAATCTTATCTGTGACTCACCCAAATCGAATACAGTGTAAAACTTGCTCATGAATACATCGCCGAGAACCCAATATCCAGAGGGTAATTTATCATTGCTGGCAAAAGGTGATGTACAGTCTGTATACAACCAGTTTTCCTCCTAAAATCAAAAATACAGTGAATTTTAATCACTTTCAGACTTCCTGTCTTGTAAAGAAAATTGAGAACAATCTTAGTGGATGTCGAATTCGCCTACTTCTACAGCCAACTCCAACTGACCGGAACACAAATAGTGTGCGTTCCCATGGAGTTGACTCGAATATGCTGATAAAATTTGACGGTTACTTATGTAAAATAATGGAAGCGGATGAAGTTGTTCAGAATTATTTGAGGTTGACAGCATTTTCTAGTGAGATGTCAAAGAAAGGAAAGTGGTGAGTAACTGTGATAATCTGAAATTTATTTGATAAGTTGGTGCTGGTGACTCGACAAATGAATTTTAATTTGTCTGGTGATTCCTTCCATTCGTGATATAAGAGTTAACCGATTGGATGGAAAGAACGCCGTACAAATCATATTAGAAGCTCACATTTCACACAGAAAGCCGTTCACTTCTACAGATAAGTGACTAAAATCAATCCACACTGGTTGTATGGATTTCACAATACTTGGCTGTCTGTTGAATGAAAACTAGTGAAATTGGTGAAGATGTTTTCTCAGTGTGCTGATCACAACAGAATCAGAAAGTTCAACTGAGTGATTATACTCACCTTAAGAACGTAATCCTTCGGGCTAAGTACCTAGGTCTTCCTCCTGAAGAGAAACTCAATTGCAGGGAACATGTGAATGTAATTACAGTCGAGTGAATAACCCCCATCACCACTCCATTTGGCACCAAGATGATCATTCATCACATCCACCGCTCTGCTATGTCCCAGTATCAAAGACGTTCCAGTATCTATAATACCAATGCATTTTCCAAGGCAAAAATCTGCTCCACCTATCTTCATGCTAAACATGGTAAAACAAACACAACTGAAACACTAACCAGTCTATGCAGTGAAGAGTTTATTGATATAAATTAATGCAATCACAAAACCACTCAGACGCAATGGGTTTACTAAGTTCTCCTCAGTCATCTCCACACAAATACACAAATCCCTGTCTGTTGATTAACTTTCAGCTCTCATCAGAATTTATTTCACTTTCACCCAATAACAGCCTTCACTAAATCATTCTAATGACTTTCTTCACTGAAATACTCGTGAACACATACAAAACATGCTGAAATTACGTACACCATGAAAGTTTCCACTTGGGATTGCTCGAGGCAACTTCACTACACACTATCAGCATTTCAAATGGCATTCGTTTCCAGATAAACCACTCAGGTTGTCAACAGATCAAAATCAAACAGATGACACTTTCTTCCATTACTCAGTGAAAGTTGGCCAGTAAGTAGTCACGCCAGCATCTGTGTGTTTATCGAACGTAAAAGTGGATAGTCAGCATATGTGATGTTGTTTGATAGAAGGGGAATCGGTTTTCATGTGTTGAGGTGATGGTGGTCAAATGACTGCTTTATTTGTACCAGAAGAGAGTATTTTAGGTTCAAACCAACTATAATAAATTAGGGATGCAGAATAACTGCCCACTAATTTGTCATCTGGAATTATCAAGTCATATCTCATCCAATAGACTTTTACTTGAGTGTATGACATTTATTGCTGGAAAACGTGGAAATTATTTCGTGTATTAAATATACTTTGATTAGAAGATATAACTGTGACAACCACTCCACACTTCCCATGGTCTTAATGTCCACGTGAAAAAATGATATTTTTGCCCATGAAGTCATACAAGCATAGGTTGACTACCTTTTGATTATAACAGACCAACGGTTATGAGAAACGACAGGCAAGTTTTCGAAATCTCCAATAAAATATTCAGGATTGACACCACCAATCACCATCTCTCCACCGACATGACCGTTCTTTCTACAAAATACAAAACGCAAAATTTGTGCTTAGCTTACTTGGTTAGACGTGACTTTAATTTAGCCTTCGTCCAACATAAATTTGAATGGTGATCATGATAAACATGACGCGCAAATTTGCATGAAATCACAAAATTCAATAGTTGCCTCCAACACTTCACATTTCAGTGCCATTCAAGTTGCAAGTGAAAACGATGTAAGTTAAGACAGTACTACAAGGCACCATTATTTTCCAAATATAATGTCATAATTGTGCACACTTTCAGCGCAGTGTGCACCAGAAGACACTACTCATGACAAACAGTCGTCGCGAATACGCTGGTGATTCAATGTCTGTAACAGCAGATGAGGAGATAGTTTCGAAAAGTCCATTGAGAATGATCACACTGTACAAATGGAACAAACACTATCATCGATTGTGGCGAAACTGAGGAATGTATTGGATTTGTTTTTGGCCCTAAAATATGTGAGTACTTCTGTAAATCACTGTGTGCATTGTTTCTTGAGATAACATCTCGAGAGGGTAGCAATGCATCTAATTTCACGCAGGAATAATTTTCGCTCAGCTATGCATCAACTTTGGAGCTGATAATTGATTGAGGGATGTGTGAAGATAGATTACTGTATTGAGGCAATTCAATGAGTGTCCATAATTATCTTGCACAAATGGAGCAAGTCACATACACCCTGAAAAATGCATTTGTCAAGTCTTTCTCCATACTCTTATTCGAATATGGTCTAAAACTACTTCCTGTTTGATGGATCCCAATTTTATTTTACGGTGGAGATTCATCTTATGTATTCATATAAAGATGATTAAACCTACTTCCTTATAAGTGGATCTGCATTACGAATATCTAAATATCGAGTCACATTAGTCACACCAGATAGATATGAATTGCAGAGAACTACTCATAAATCTAGTAACTATCAGCCGTTGATTGCAAGTGTAATGCTACCATGATGCAATTTAGAACCTACCGATTCAAATAGAAAGAAAATACTGGATCCATATCCTTTGACTGAGAGAGTATATTCGGGAAGAATGGAGTGTTCCCATATCTTGACACATTTCTCCTTGACATACCAATGATTCCATCATACTTACTACCAAAGAAATCATCGGAAAACACATTTGTCACTTCAGCAAATGCCTGATTGCGAATAACTAAGGAGTTTATCTGAAACCAATGTCACTTCAAGTCGTGAAACCACAATACCTGCATTGTATCCATACTCCAAAATCCAGAGTAACTGCCAATCAGGTAACTTATATTAAATTTGGTACCATTTGACTGGTAGGTGGATGATTTTGAACTGTCGTAGAATCGAATGAACCAACACGGAATGTCAAGAAACCAACATTTTCTTGAGGGAAGCCAAGTTTCGGTTGATCCTGTATCGAAGAGTACACGAAACTTTTGTGGTGGCGTTCCCACTAGTAGTTCTCCATAGTACTGAATCTGAAAAGGATATAATGAACGCGAGATTTGGAAAATCGCCTGTCATTTCAGTGTCATGATGGACTAGTCTACATTAATGACAATAATAAGTGGTTTTAAAAGACTTCTACCAATATTTCATTATTGTATCCATGTGTGGAATACTATTAAAGTGAAAGTCATCGAAATATTGGCAATACAGCCTGGAAGATTTGACAATTCAGATTATGAAATCTGATCAAAGCAAGAATAGAAGTAAAGCAGTGTGCAAGGGTACCAATCCGTCATTATATACTTTTATTTTGTGTCACGGTGTTGCGGTATTATTTATTTACATGTGACATCTAAACGACGGTGTACTGTAAACTATCGTGTCACATTAATATCCAGTTTGTAGGCCTGATGAAAATTGATTGAACCGCTAACAATGAGAGACAGTAATACGTAAACATTCTCCTCCAATTAACACCTACTGGTGATATAGTCAGGGGAGAAAATCACAACAGCTTATTTTCTTACTCAAACAGTAACAACGAAATCATTTTAGGTACCCTGATTCTGCATTCAGCAAAAAATATTTCAATGCTTAGACTTACATTGTTTATCTGGTACTGCAGATTCAGATATCACTCAAATCAACAAACATTCGCTTCATTACTGAAAGTCAACTTACATTGCCATAATTATATAGCGGTTCTGATGTTGGTGTATCTGCGCCATTCAATAAATTCACCCAACTTCGTTGTAATACCCTGAACAGTTTCCGATATGGATTCAGCATTGAACTGATTCCAGTCACTGGGTGCAATGGAATCTTGATAATCTCAGAATTCACATGACACAGACAGATGAGAAATATGATCAAATTCATTGCAATGAATATCAGAAGGAGATGCGAAAACGTTGACGATGTCTTTCTGTCTAAATGTGCATACTCTTATATTAACACGCTCGTAACAATGAAATTTCTGATTGGAGATCACTGTGATTTTGTTTGTTGTCAGTATATTATTAAGTGATGTTTGCGAATGATGGCAAATATAAACGTGCTTTATGAATAACTAAATATATACGATATATGCGCAACTGAGTTCTCTTAGCATAATGGATTTGAGATGTGTGGAAAGATATTTGATTTGCGTAATTTCGAAATTCTCTTTGAATACTTCAAATAAGAAGTATTTAAGTGAACAATTGTTTTTTCAACAACTTTGCCTTCGGTTCGAACAGTTTCAAATCTGTATACATTTCCATCAACTAGGCAGCGAATGCGGTAACATAACCTTATGAATAATACCGATGTAACTGATAGAGTGGAATCGGTTTGGTTGAAAAGATGGTGTTGGTTTTTATATTAATATTAGTGTTTACAAAATATGCAGGTAATGCAAGTAGAAGAGAAGATAATAGGTTGTCTCGTGTAGGAACCGTTATACAAGCTTAGAGGAAAGAATAATTAGAACTGAATAGAATGATACTGTGTGTGAAATTAACCAGTAAGATATGCATGATTACCGTTCAAATGGTGGCCAATAGTATCAATAATAATGATAATAATACTCAGCACTGAGAACCGGAAAGGCGTTTCATTCTAGT